TGCTAAAGTGAAACAGATCCACGGAAACGTTGTTACGTTTGTTACGTTGTTACGAATTAGGATGTTCTAAAACAGCGTCTCTTTGCGATTTTTTTTAGAAGGGAAAGAAAGAAACGAAGTTATTGAATTTTGAGGTATAGTTTTATATATATTTAACGAATACAAAAAAATTTTTTTTCGAAGTAAAAAAAGTTATAACAGATTTCTAAGCCTATTTCAAGGGCTGCAGTTTTCAGTCGGCGTGAAAGATTTACCTCGTAATTCTTGACTGAAATAAAAAACCAAAAAAGGATTAAATTATTATATATCTTTCTTCTGGGTGAACTAAACAAGTTCGTCAAAAAGTTTATTCAAATAATTGTTATAGCACCTTAAAGTTTTTTTTAAATACATTTTTTTTTTAACTCGCCAAAATTTTTAATTTCACATTTTTCTCTGCCGTTGTTTAATTCGCCCAGAGGAAAAATATATAATAATTTAATCCTTTTTTGGTTTTTTATTTCAGTCAAGAATTACGAGATGGATCTTTTACGTTGATTGGAAACTGCAGCCCATAAAATAGACTTGGAAATCTGTTATAATCTTCCTTTTACCTTGAACAAAATTTTTTTGCATTCGTTAAATATATATAAAATCATACCTCAAAATTCAATAACTTCGTTTCTTTCTTTCCCTTGTAAAAAAAATCACAAAAGGACGCTGTTTTAGAACATGCTAATTCAGGACACGCTCTTAAACAATCTTCGTAAGTAGATAACGTTTTAGTTGAAGATCGTCGAACATTGGATCGCTCGAAGAAACTAAATTATTAAACGACAAATTAGTGAAAATTATAGTTTCTTGGCGATCAGAAAGCCATATTAAAGCACCGTGACTCGTCGATGTCGCATCGATGACCATTTTGTTGGCTGGAGATTTCTCGCATTGTACGACAACGGAATACCATTTGACCCGTCTATCCGTTAGATTTTGCGTCCCATAAATTATGGATCATGGCAAATTCGCGGAGGCACGATACGCGTTAGAATTAATTGAAAAGTTCGTGAAGTTGGAACGAAAAAGGTTTTATTGCCAGACGGCCGACGTTTTTCCCTACCGTTTCGGCAAGCTGAAGCGAACATAATTTACGATTATCGTACGCGACCGAGCTTAATGTTCTTCGCGAAATATCGAGGAAGCTCTGGCTTTTCCGCGCCGAGAAGCGACGATGGCTGAAAGTTTCGTAGATAGATGTTCGATCCTCCCTTTGAATGCGAAACAAACGGAACGATAAAATTATCGATCAAATATTCATCCGGTAAGGGAATCCTGATGGCAGTTTACCAACAACGGCGCGTCAAAGGGACGAATTTAAATTTTAAAGCGGCTTCTTTCCAAACAGTTTTCGTTCTTTGATATATACTCGCTTTATAAGCCTTTACGTTTGTTCCTTGTTTCGTACATTCCCATAAACCGATACCGCGAAACTTCGTTCCGTCTGTAGCATCGTAATAAATTGACTTAGAGCGAAGACTTTACCTAAACTGAGAATTCGTACAAAATCGTTTTTTATTGTCGTTAAACTTTTCATGACAAAACTTTCTTTTAGCCCCTGAGGAAATTCCCTTTTTTCTTTCATTTAATTATTAACGATGGAGGCACATTTTTTTGGATAATTTCATAAAGAAGGTAGAATACGTTAAAATTTAAAATCGTTTCAGTTTCAATCGTTGCTGTCGTATTTATTTTGCCCGGCGAATTCGTTAGTTTACGTTGCAACGTTAACTTCGTGTAATCGTGTCGTCAAATCCCAACTAGAAATTCTATTAAACGTCAACTCCTGTTGTCTAAATCTCATCGTTAGAACCATCGTGCAATTCTCTCTCTTCTAGTGATTCCAAAAAGTTACCAATTAACGCTTCTTCTTTCGTTCTCCGCCACTTTTATTTCTTTTCGTCCTAGATCCTGCAGGATAAAACCGATTGGACGATCTCCACAGTGATACGTCTCCACACTCTTCATTTCTCTCGCGGATACGAAGCGTCTGACTCACCTAAAGGCGCATACATATCGGCCACTCGAAGATGGTATCCCGCTGGGGATAGCCATCCACATGTTATTTAACAATTAAGTTAGAAAAAATTACCAAATGTCCAACTGGACAAATTGTAAAGTACAAATTAGATAATTAGAAGAAAAAAAATATCAGCCAACGTGTTCTTTGCTTGTAACAAGCTCGCGAACGCTTCTTGAAATCTACATGAATATTATTGCGATATGTGTAATTTTGTGTGCTACACTAAATTAACCGCGTAGTAGTGACACACGTATATGAGTAGCAGTGTGTAGGAGTATGTGCGTGTACAGCATCTCGTAAAACAGATGAATGGAACTGGTCCATTGGTAGTTTGGTATAGAAGATGGCGAGACAAAGAGAGTGCTGAGACGCGTGCAAATGTATATCGACGAATATCTTGTACATCGCATATTAAATAAATCTGAAACTATTTTTATATCGATTCTAAGTGTAATCTAAGTGCCCCTATACATTTATTTCCGCAATTAAGGGAGTGTCCTGAATTAGAATGTTCTAAAACAACGTCTTTTTGTGATTTTTTTAAGAAGAGAAAGAAAGAAACGAAGTTACCGAATTTTGAGGTATGGTTTTATATATATTTAACGAAAACAAAAGAAATTTTTTTAAAGTAAAAAAAGAAATTATTACAGATTTCTAAGCCTATTTCATGGGCTGCAGTTTTCAATCGGTGTGAAAGATCCACCTTGTAATTCTTGACTGAAACAAAAAACCAGAAGAGGATTAAATTATTATGTATTTTTTTTCTCGATGGACTAAAAAAGTTCGTCAAAAAGTTTATTTAAATAATTGTTATAACACATTAGAGTTTATTTTTTCTTTTTAAAAAACACATTTTTTCTTGAAACCCGCCAAAATTTTTAATTTCACACTATTCTCTGCCCTTTTCTTAAGATTCGCAATTCTCAACAAATATAAGTCTGTTCTTTGCTTTCTTACAACGATCGCGCATACTCGTCTTAGGAGCCGCGATCGATGCCGTAATTGTCTTTAACCGTAGAAAATTATGTTCCATTAAAAAAATTAAAACAAAGAACCTCGTTTTTTTTTACAAGTTCACACAATGTGCTAGAATGAAAGTTGGTCCGTGTCGATGCTCTAGTCAATGTGAACTAGAACGAAACGAAGCGATGCGACAACGAACAACGTGTTATCGAGCAGTATGCGAACGAATGTCAAAGGAACTGTCCGCCAATACCAGTGAGAACGCACCTTTACTTCCAACTTGAAGACTGTCGAGGAAGACGATCCAGAGTGGTGAATGGCACACGCTCGTCAAAGTCGTCGTCGTGGATTTTCAAGTGGTTGGTCGATCGACTTCTCGGGCACAAAGGAACGAACGAGAGTCGAAGTTCGAGGTGTATAGCGACAATAACTGTCGAGTGGAGCGTTGTTCGAAGCACAGAGGGATCGGCGTTCAATTATTCGAGGAGTTCGCGAGACGAAGAAATGCAGGAACGCGGATAAATAGAGCGCGAGAGGTTTTAACGACCATATCTTCTCCGCAACTCGATTCGTTAACGGCCGGCGAAAATAAGAGCCGATAATTAATACGGCGAATCCTTGATGCGAAAAGTTTACGAAACGAGCAGGAAAGCTGCGTGTTCTCCGGCCTCGTGCGCGATCGGGAGGGGCAGTCGCCGGCAAGAACGAAACAACGCGAAGAAATTGGGTGAAACTTCGAGCAACTTGCGGCGAACTTTACGAAAGAAGTTACCAGGCACCGTTGTATCTTTTTCTCGGTTGAATATTATCGTCGAGCTACGATCGGGCTTTCTTGTGCTTAAACGCGTTCTAAATTCCTTTTCCAACGATCGTCATACCGTACGTACACAGAGCGCCAAGGAACGAACGTTAAATAAACTTTATTCCCGAGGAAGATTTATTAGCCGATTAATCTCGAGGGGCGACGTCCAAATCTTTCGAGCATTCGCCGATGTTGGACGAGAGAAATTTTCATCGGTGTCGTACCCGTGGCCGTTTGCCGCCGTGGAATTGATCAATACTTCGAAAAGCAGCCCAACCGTGTCCTGGAGGCTGCACTGGCAGAAAAAAAGCCATCCAACCGCGGTAGAGGCGGTGGGTGGCGAAAAAGAGCAGAAAGGAGCGGGTTGCCGGTGGCGTCGCGGCAAGCAAGCCTGGAATGGGAAAAAAATGAATTATGCGACGAATCGAAAATGCTGGTCACGATGGAACTCAAGGGTATTGTCCCATCTTGTCTCTTGCTCTCGTTCTTTCCTTCTCTTTCCATTTTTCACTCTCTTCCGCGTTCTCCGGACTCTGGTTCCGTTCCCGAGCACCGAGTCCGCCCGGGAGAAGACAGAAAACGCCAACGACGAAAAGTAGAAGAACGAACGAACCCGGCCGAGCTATGATTTGTAGCGGTGCCGTCATATCGTTCCTTCTTCTGATGGATCGCCTATCCCTCCGGCTTACTTTCGTCGCTGAAACGCACCATGTTTTCAGCAACGCGCCATGTTTTCAACAACGCACCATGGCCATCGGTTTAGTCGACGAAACGAGCCGCTTTCGCCAGCGAAATTCCCTTTAACGAGACACAACGAGTCGACCCAGCCGACGTAGCCAATAAGGCGAGAAACTGTTCACCGAGCAATTTAATATTCTCTGGCGGGCACAGTGCGCGTAGACGATGCACGAGAAAAAGAATAATCGCGACGAGGAATATTATTATTCGGTATTGTACGCAGATACCGGTAGCAGGTTATGCATAAAAGAGGAGCTAGTTGTTTCGGCTAGAATTACCTTCACGGGAATTTAATAAATGGAAACCGGCTACATACGTACAAAGGGTCGATTAATGGATGATAATTCGTCCCTTCGTACGAATAGTCGCGATGTATCAGTTTTCTCTTTATCTTGTTTCGTTACATCGAATATACCTGTGGATTTTACGTTTTATTTAAACATAATATTCAGATATGTATAATTTTACGTGCTAGACTAAGTTAGCTGCGTAGTAGTAATACTTGTATGCGAATATCAACGTGTGGAAGTATGTGTGTGCGCGGCGTCTCGAAAACAAAGGAATGTAAATTGTTCAGTCGGTCAACAGTCGGGTATGAAAGAAAATGCTGAGACGCGTGCAAGTATGTATCGATGAATATCTTTGAAATCGTTTATCAAATAAATATATAATTATTCTAATATAAATTCTATGTGTAAATTTAATGTTCCTATACCATTATTTCGGCTATTAAGATCCAAAATTCTCAACAAATAAATTACATTTGCGGCCTCTTGCACGGTGATTTACGGACTAATAATGTTACGATTAAATCGATAAGTCAGGACTTTTACGATTTTGCAATTCTTCGTCAAATTGCATGATCAGCGTTCAACGGGACAATCGATTTACAACTTGTAAATTCGCAGATATTAGTAGCCTTATTCGTTCGAAAAGGGTCCGGATAACCTGCAATTTGTATAATTTTATTTCTTATCAGTCAAACTCGTATCTTCTGACATAAAATTTCGCAAATAATATTCAACTGCGCTAGTTCTAATATTCTTCTACTGTCGTACGCAAAGTTTATATCCGACGAATGCGCAACAGAACCTTCCAGCTCGATACAATGTTTGACCGACGTTGCATCGACGATTCGCACGATTGACAAATTTAATAGCAACTACGATACTAGTTGGTTGAGCGTAGCGTGTGGCGGACTATTTAAAAGGAGTAAAAATCCCGAGCTTGTGAATAATCTACGGGGTGATTCTTCCGTCTGCAGTTGAACGAGCTTGAAAACTTTCGACCGAACTCTGGCCGTTTTTATTCGAAACTCTTCTCGTCTTAGTCGCTTTAACAGGATACCGATGACCCGACAATTTTGTTTCAAATGTTCGAAGATCGATGAGCCGGTGAAACGTGGCTATTCGTTAATAGAGAGGAAAGTGGAATCCTCTGGAATCTATGGTAGCCGCGATTCATTAAAAAAATATAACGCGAGCCATTATTTCTAAAAACAATGGCAAATTCAGCGGAATATCCTCGCGGAACGACGAGTTTCATCCCAAAAAGTTGTTCGTCAAACAATAGCCGGCTCGCGTTACGCCCGCGACACTGATCGCTTTGATTTACCACCAACTTTAAATGCTGTCCCGTGACGTTCCATCGAAATCGTTCTGTTGTGCAATATGCAGCAAATCACTTTCCCGCGGTGATATTAAGCGGGGCTAGTTAACGCTTGTATCTGTCGATTCGTGTTCGACAAAAACTACGTTCGATGACTAAGTATAATAGCTTTTTGCTCATCGATAACCTCTGACAAAGTATCGGGCAGGTCAAAATCGAAATTAAAGCAGCTGCTACTTGATTCGATGATACGCGAACGTTTCGGTAAATCTCGAGATCGGTGATCGACTACGTCGTAGACGATACAGCCACGTAACGAGCGATGTGCAGAGTCTGGCTGAAAAATGTCGAGATTCATTGATAGAAGAACGAGTGGATGAATTTGTAATAGAAAAATATATTGAAATAAATAAAAGTATAAGTATAACGTATGCTGAACCAGATCATCATTCTTGCAATGTCACGATACAGTAGAAGCGATAGGGAGCACGTCCATATACAGGGTGGTTGGTAATTTACAAAGAAACAAAAGACCTATAAGTTGATTTCTATTGCTGTTTCTTGTAGCTAGAGTTTCAGCTAGAGCTACAAAGTTAATCTTTTTGGTAATGTCCTTTGTTAGAAATACAGGGTGGTTGGTAACTGGTGGTACAAGCGGAAAGGGGGTGATTCTACGCGAAAAAAGAAGTCGAAAATATAGAATAAAAATTTTTCCTTTGAGGCTTTGTTTTCGAGAAAATCGACTTTGAATTTTCGCTCGGTACGCGTGCGGAACGTTATAACGGATCTCACTGTAGATCGTTGTCTCGATGGAAAAATTAAAAAAAAAATTTTTTATTCTATATTTTCGACTTCTTTTTTCGCGTAGAATCACCCCCTTTCCGCTTGTACCACCAGTTACCAACCACCCTGTATTTCTAACAAAGGACATTACCAAAAAGATTAACTTTGTAGCTCTAGCTGAAACTCTAGCTACAAGAAACAGCAATAGAAATCAACTTATAGGTCTTTTGTTTCTTTGTAACCCCAAACATAATTTATATTCAATAGCACAATAATATGGACCTCTCCTTGTTTCGAATTTTTATTTCACTAAATTCTATTCTCTTCGTAACAGCGGTCTCCAGGTCACTCCAGGTATACGAAGGAAAAGGTGTAGAGTTTTTCTTGAAGTAATTACTTCAACAAAAAATAACAAAGTTATCGATATATTAATTCAAACGCTCGTCTCCTCTACCTTCGCGAGAGCCGTAAATTCGACGATCCCTCCAATCTTGGTAAACGCGAATCGTTGCTGGGATCCCGCTTAATTCGATGAACGATTTCCCAACGGTTCTCGCAAAGGAGCAAAAGGGAGAGATCGGGTGACCGACTACCGCCGAGAAGACAATTAACCGAGAGAAAAGGGATTAATAGAAAAGGCTGATTAAGGGAAGAAAGACGGCGAGGCGTCTCCAAGTTCCTTCGTGTTTTCATTTGGTCGAATCGCTCGTCATTCCGCAGTTAATCTTGGCGAAGGGACGAACAGAGGATGAACTAGAGGGCCCAACGGGATCGTTAGTTTTAATCGTTTGACTGCTATTAGATCGTGTCAGTCTTTTCCTTTGCTTCGTCCCTTGCTTCCTTCTTTTTCCTCTTCCGCTTCCTTTGCTCTTCTTTCCTCCGTGGGATTGTCCTTTTGCTTCGTGTTCGCTCGCACCAGCTTCCTAGAGCTCCCTTAAGAGCCTACTCCCTGGTGGTCAGGCTCAGACGGTATTATCGATGGCAAGCATTAAACGTCTTTCGTTCCGTAACAGCTCGTGCTCGTATCGAGCGCCAGGAGCCTCAATGACACCCTGTGGTATCGCGTTTCGTAGCAACGCGAAAAACCAGCGTATCGCGTTGATTTAGATCGCGTAACTGTAGAACAAACGAGCGTCGTTCAATTTTCATTCGTTACGCGTAGTTCGAATCTAATCGGTCACTATCCGATCCTGTTAGCTGCAGCCTGTCGCTATTGGTTAGCGTAGTAATACCGACAATAAAAATCACTCGAAGCATTCGGCGATGGCGTCTCGCAAAATGCCCTAAAACGCGATATCTGATCATCAGTCGGTGGTCTCTTTTTTCCCCTAGTCTTGTTTCCTGTCGAAAAGTCAATTTCGCTTGCTATCGATGAAATAGCTCGGAATAACCTAGATATGAATGCGACGCTGATGGGAAAACGCTATCAATACATTGCAATGAACGAACGACGCTGACCGGCAACAATAGCAGTAAAACGTACGGATCGTTTGTTGCTCTCGTTCTCGTTTTCCACTCTTCCCCTATTTCTCTTTCTCTGTCTCTGATGAAAATTCCGCGCGCGACCAGACAAGGGTAGACAGACAACGCTGAAATAGTTGTGTTCCGAGTATATACGGAAATCGAGAAAATATAGCGACGGTGAAAGCTGCGTCGCGGATCGCAGCGAAATTGCCAGCTTAACAATTTCCATCGATCAACCAACCGTTTGGAGGTAGAACGTCAGAAAACGCGTCTCTCCGCCTCTCTCCTTCGCGTCTGAACGAGAACAAAATCAAGATTTCCAAAGTCAACTGTAGCCCTTGGCACTCGAGGAGCGACGAGAAATTGGAAAGCAAACTGTTATTTCTGTCAAAGATCTTCTAAGTACGAATATCGAGAACTTTATTGTACGGTACTTCGCTCGAGCCAACAATCTTACTCAGATTTATGCAAACGTTTCGAGTCAGCTAGTAACCCGCTGATGTCGCAAAAAGATTTGAATTTACCCTGCAATTCTCATGGACCAGATCACGATGCAGCTTGAGAAATTTTGTCATTTCCATCGATACGAAACGATAGGTTCCGGGAATTTCATGTCAACTACATGTAGAATATGTTCTTTTTTCGTCCTATTTTTATTATGTATCAAAGATCGCCACCTGAAAAGTGGAAAAACGTGTAGAAAGAAATATACTATGTCAGTCGGCGGTTTGACCTGACCACTCCGGTTGAGGATCGATAATCGCGGCTCTCAAAGATGTAGGATTTCTCAACGGGAAAAACTAGGTTGAACCTTAGAGTCTCAATTTAATCGTTCCACCTCGTTTACTATTAAATCGTATTAAGGTCAGCCACGGAAAGAAGGAAAGGAACCACTGTTAATTACATAATCTACGTTTTAGAATTGCACGATAGCGTTGCTAGCTACCATTTATACGGATCTAAGTGAATCCGTTCCCACGATGCTCTTTACTGTTCACTTTCATCCCGACTGCAACAGAATATTCGCGTATTAAATTAAACGATTATTTTCCCAATTTGTGGAAACAACAACGCCGCGCCGTTAAAAAGTGTTGCCAGTATCCCGACTATCCCAGAGGGAGAGAACGCGCAAGTGAATAAAAAACATCTCGCGAGAAGGAAATGGTCGAGGCGAGAAACTTCCGCTAAATAGCTTTTTCGTCTTTTATTCAGACACAGACCAGTCGTTTTGTAAGAGCAACGAATTCTGTGTGAACGCAGAAGGCAATAGTATCCGGCGAGTCTTTTTCGAAACTCTGATGAAAATTATACACGTGGAAAGGATCGTATCAGTCGTCTAAGCCGCTCTAAGCTTCGACGTGTCGCGTATGAAACGCCATTATTCTTGATATAACAACGAAATGGCGAGGAAATATCGCGTAATTTACAAGCAACGAGAGAAAATATAAAAACCGGGGAAACGATTCGAATAATCCTACGGTAGAATTATTTGAGTCAGCGAGAGTGTGTCACGTAAGAACTGATGAAAAAAACGATAAAATAACTTTGAGAATTAAGAAATATGCTACATTTTACCATTTCTCGGGCTATCAATGACAGTTTAAGTGATCTGGTGTGAAACGTAGATCGGTTTAAAATTGTTCATACTCGGATTACGTTAAGAAATTACTCAGCTTCGTTCGAATATTCTCCCGAGCCAAATAATCCTATTAAATTGATCTTTGAAAGCAAACACGCAATAACGAGGTATTTCCAATGGTTAAATCTCGCGGAAGAAGGATATTGGATGCGAGAAAGTAACGCGTACGCGGAA